TAACTGCTTTTAGTTAAGGTTTAATTTCAGACCATCCTTTGTGGTTACTTTAGGTCTCCAAGTCTGCAAAACTGCCATGCAGGCCTCTCCTGAGCTTGTCAGGTCAGCATGTGGCCCCTTTTCGTCCACAGCCACCTGATCATGTGACAACAGCCTCAGGTGTCCCACACTCATCTTGGCAACCAGCAGCAGCCATAGGACCAGATGCACGTAGATCAGCTTCTTGATTTCATACTTGAGGGTCACACTCATCTGGTAGTGCATGGCGATGCGCTCCTGGTGCTGAAAGTCGCTGAAGTCAGTGGCGGCGGCTCGCGGGCCTGCCCGAGACGCCATTGGCCTGGCCCTGCCCTGAACCCCGGTGTCGTTCGTGCAGCTCCCCTGCCGCCCGCAGACCCTCCTCACGCCGTCTCAGCTCCGGAACCAAATTATTTCTTGTCTTGTCTCTTTCATTTGTGTGCGGTCCCTCTTCCCGATCCTGAACCCTGAACCACGCGGGACGTGGGGGGAAAACATACACATTTACACTGGCCGCCTCTCCTCTGCCCACCCTCAACTCTGGGTGCTGACCTGTGGGTTCGCCCTCGCCATTCGTTCCCCAGCACTTGCTGCAGGGACCACCTCGGGGTCTCCTGGCAGCGACCTCTCTTCTACAGGATGCTTTTTGGGTCCTGGTACTTGGCCTGCCAGTGAGCCCTTCAGGCTAAGCTGGTAATGGCGCTCCCTCCCTCTGTGTCCCCCTGGGGGTGCTGACCACCCACCCCTTTTACTAAGCACTCAAGTCACTGGTCAGTGCCATCTATTTCCCCAGCACCAAGAAGACAGCGACAAAGGGACCCTCCCTGCCCTTGAGAGTCACAGGCCCTAATTCTCCAGCTGTCCAGGCAGGGACAGCTAAGCAGCACAGGGTGGTCAGAGTGGGTTTGAGAGGCAGAGTCAGGTGCTTCAGACACAAAGCAGATCCCGCGGCCTCCCGCCCTCTCCTTGCCTTTCTCACAAAGCCTGTTACTGGGGGATGACCTGAGGATTTATCTACAAAAATGTGGGAGGGTGTATAGTGTGCTAGGGGCAGGGGCCTGGCAGAGAAGAATTACTGAGTGAGCTGAGGGGCAGGGACCATAGGAGAGAAAAATTGCTAATTATCTCACTAGAAAAGCAATGTGTTATGATTAAACCCAGCCAGGTGTGCACCT